TAGGCTACTTTTGTGCAAGGATTCACCAATCCTCAAACTCATAATAAGCATATGCTTTTGGCTGAACGACAAGCTGCTGCACGTAAAGATGATGAACGTGCATTTGGTGTCCTACAAGCGAGGTTTGCAATAGTACGACAACCAGCTCTTACTTACGATGACGATGTGTTAGCTGAGATTATGAAGGCTTGTAAAATAATTCATAACATGATAGTAAAGGATGAACGAGATACTTATAAGAATGTGACAACTTGTTATTCGATATGATTTTAGGGTGATTTTGAACCTTGTTTACTTGATATATTGGCATTTTGGTTCACTTCTACTCTATTTTCGTTCAATTTTTATGTATCCCTTGCTTCATGGGTTGTTAGTGTTTTTGTTGAGTTTTTAGGTCCAAAGACGACCATTTGAAGCATATGTATGATAAACCGAGGTTAGAAGCCGAGACAATGGAGCAAAACCGAAGAAAAAATGAAGATAAGGACCTTAGAGAGCCTGCACGGACGTGCCATACCTTGCACGTCCATGCAAGAGTACATCACAACGATCAAGAACTTTAGTTTGCTGCTTTCAAGACCTACACGTCCGTGCAGGATACTCAGCACGTCCGTGCCTAATCTTGCACGTCCGTGCAGCTTGCCCAGCCCGAATCAGTTTCAAAACTGATTGTGCAGTTCAAGGTCTGCACGTCCGTGCCATATCTAGCACGTCCATGCAGGATTTCCAGGATGATTCGGTAGTAAAATGTTTCTCATCTTTTGGCTGTGCACATGGTGGCACGTTGTAGGCGTCGTTCGAAGTGCGCCTACGTAAAGAGCATGTGGTGAATATGCTTGGCACTCATAGGAAGTGGGAATCGACATATACAATTAGGGACAACGATTAGGGACAAGGAAAGTAGGGAGCCACCAACAAGTTTTTAAGGAACTTGTAAACCGTTCACGGATCATAAAAAGGCAACCACGATAAGGGACAACGATAGGCAACAACGATTGACCCGTGAAGGTTACACCCCATTCATAATCCATGAGATTACTAACTCCATATGGTTCGGAACCACGAAATGAGGATCGGGGATGATGGTACGAAGTGAGTCATGGAGTCACATTCGCTCGTATTGGCCTCTACTCGATTCTTAAAGTGAAAAGTGATTCATGCGATCTAAAAGGCATACAAATAAAATATTCAATTTGAACCAAACTTCATTAGGCTAAATTGGTTGAATATTAATGCAACACGTACATAATTCTAAAATATTAGTGTTCACTTTAATTAATAACAAGATTAAAAAGGAACCTAAACCGGTTGTCCAAATTATCTTATTAGGCGTGATTTTCAATTACATATTCCCTTTAAATTGCAATATGGTGATCAATAAATATAATAAAATATATATTAATATTGGAAGCAATTTAACCATAATATCATTAGTCAAATCAAATATAATAATCCTATCATGATACTAGCAACAAGAATAAAAATAAGAGTAATTAAGTGAATCAATTACTCACTTTTCGCGTTTCCTTGAATTGCTACACCATGAATAAACCGTTAGTAACTTAAATAAAAATAAATCAAATGAAAATAATTAATTTAAAAGTAGAGTTGATTTGGTCCAAACCCTCAGTTAATTCTACCTTTTCACGCCTTGGTTTTAAGTATAGAAGTTCAGGTAAAGTATAGACTCCTTGGAGTGCTTAGGGGAAGTATGGTGTAATTAGGAATATAGGTTTAAGGCTTAGGGAAATGAGCTAGAAATTGGATTGGTTCATGAAATATATTGGATAAAACATGGATTTAAGCTCTCCAAAGATTAAATACTCAACCTGACCAATAATGGCAGTGACAGGTGTTCATCATCGGGTTTGGTTTTGGGGAGACATTTTTAGGTGTCTACACACGTCCGTGCAGATTAGGCTGCACGTCCGTGACAAGTTTGGCACGTCCGTGTAGACCTGTAGCCGTGCCCGACTCTCGTTTTCTCTGTCTTTTTTATGTGGGGGTCTTTATAAATAACCTCTTGAGCTCATTTGTACGGCATCCAAGTTTTTAGACCTTTCTCTTAGTTTTTAATTTTACAAACACAAATATTCTCAAATCATTAGTTAGATTTTAATTGCTAGCTTAGAAATTTCAATCTTAATCATTGTAGAAGATAAGTTCCAGCGTTGTTATTCAAGTTGAAGCTTTTAGTAACTTTTCTTACTCTTCTCTTCCATTTTAATTGCTTTGATGGTTAATTATTTTGCTTAAATCTTGTATACTTAGATTGTTAATTAGCTTAATCTTTAGTTTGAATCTTGTCCACGAGTAGCTTGAAAACCTTAATTGCTTTAATCTCCATGGATTGTGATGGGTAGTCTAATTTTCTAGGGTTTGGGTGAAACCCTCAATATAGTCACTAATTACCTGTTACATGGGTTAATTTGGTAATTCTTGGGTGTTAATTAGTTGAGTTTAAGCGGTTTAATTGCTTTAGTTCTTGTATATGGCCATTGCTAGAACTATTATCCAAGCTTTCTCAACGAAGGATCGAGAGATGAACTTGAGTTAGCTCCCTTATGCTTAATTGACTTGAAATGCCATGAGAATAGGAATTTCCAGTTAAGGGAATGTTTTTGTCATCGTGATTATGCTTTAATACTTGTTTCATGCTTTGTAACCACGAGAGTAGGTTGTATTCATGATTCAAGTAATCCCTCTTGCTTGAGAGAGTAGTAGGGTGCTTTAGATGACTTCCCTATATTATCCCCTTAATTTACCATAATTTGCTACATGCTATTTGTGATTTGTGATTAAGTTTAATGGTATATCCCGATCCCTAGAATCCTCTAAATATTGTTAATCACCCTTTAGTCTTAGTTGATTTGAATTAATTCATGTTACATAAAACCAACCCAATATTGACTTCATTTAATTTAGCTTATTTAAACGGTAGTATCTCGATGGTTGATTCAACGCCTCTCTTGGGTTCGACCCTTTCTTACCCTTGCTATTAGCTAGTGAGACCAAGATAGGACTTTTATCTTTGGTAGGCTCGACGACGGTCTATCGGAATGCTGAAATAACAAGAAGATATTACGAAACAAATCGCCTAATTTCGCGTCTAGGAGGTGAAGCTAGTACAATGGTACCATAACTAATGATGAGAAATTTCAGTTTCAAACAGGATGACCTATCGACATTAATAAATACTTGGAGATAAGGGACGCTATAATCCTTAAAATCTATTGACGCTTTAATCATCAATCTTTGAAAGATGACTTGATAGGTGACAATAATCCTTAAAATATAATGACGCTTTAATCATCAAGTATCGCAATCATATTTCACTTTTTATTAATGTAATGCATTTATAGTTTTATTACTTGTGTCTTACAATAATCATTATTATTTAATTGGTTTGTAATTAATTACATAATTTTAATTAATTACAATTTAATTATCGTCAAATATATGGGTAAGAAATATTATGGATAGTAATTAATATAAAAATTGAAAATAAGTAAAAGAGAGAATATAGTGGGCCGGGGTAAAGTAAAAAGTAAGAAAGAGAGTGGTGAGGGAATTTTATGGTTTGTTGTTGGTGGGATGAAAAAAATTCTTTCTTTAAAAATCAAACATGGAGGGGAGAGGGAGAGAGAGAGTGAGTGAGTGAAGAGGGAATTTTTTTTTTTCTCTGATGATAGTGCTATTAGGCTTTGTTTATTTTGATTGAAAATATTTTTACAAACTATTAATTTTTATATAAAACCATTTTCATGGAAAATATGATTTTAAAAAGGGCTTTATTATATTAATTAAACAAAAACTTATGTGATAAAAATGGAAGAAAATGGAAGGTGAAGGGAAGCAGAGAGAAATAGAGAAAGTGGGGAAGCGTGAAGCGGAATATGTGGCATATATTACGTACAAAAGGATAACGGGTTTCCTTTGTTCACTTAAAATTATACGGAGTATTAACTTTCTACCAAGCCAGTTTAAAATTGTTTCCTACCCGAGGTTTATCAAAACAAAGAAAGGAAAATGGAAAAATGAACCAAAACATTTGTCTCTCTTAAGTAATTCAAAAACTTCATTGATGATTGGCAATAATTAACATGATTTTTACATAAATATAATACTACTAGTTTGAAATCGATAACCTTGATCAAAGCTTCCTTATAAGAGTAGGCGAGTAGCAAATAGTTTCAATTTTATGTAATTGTACTTATTTGAAAAGCCAACCAACAAAACCTTTTTTTTTCCCTCTATAAAATTGCTTTGTTGTTCTTAAATTCTTATTTATGAACTACCTAATACATATGTATATTTTGATAGGCGGTCAAAAACCTAATAAAAATAAGTAGCTTAATCCGTAAATCAAGGGAAAGAATTTGAACATTCGTGATTAAGATTGTATGTCGCGTGTTCGAGGGCATACAAGTCTCGGTTGTATGTCAAACCAAACCTTGATAGCGAATGCTCGTTAATATCTTAAACTTCAAAGCTGTCTAAATTTTATTGAAGATATGTATGACTTTAAATAGGCATTACAAATAAACTAGCTAAAAGATAAAAAAAAAATGCCATATTAATATCAATCCTAGTTTTACTTTTAATGTTTGACTGTACTAGGATAAATAGGATTGGTGAACTCTCAAGAAGTTTTTAAAGTTGGTAACTATCATTAGTGTTTCAAATGAAATCTTTGTTTGAAGTCCATTTTTAAACCCGAATAGTAGTGATAAAAGCCTTTAAGGTAACCAACAAATTAAAGTCTTTTCATTGACATGGTTATTTGCTAACAGAACTTTTATACAAACGACCAAAATAAACGACCAAAATAAAAAAAAAAATTAAAAAAAAAACTCAATTAAAAACGATTTAATTTCCTTAACTCCATCATAAAATAATTAAAAACCTTTAAAAAGTTATACTTCATAATAATTAACAACAAATCCAATTAATTTTTCCTCAAACAAAAAAAAAAAAAAGTCCAATTAATTACCCATCAATAAACTCCCAAAATCAACCCCAAATCAAACCTAAGACTAAACTCAACACAAATCAAATCAACAATTCAAAGTTAAAAAAATTCTTGCCCCTTTTCTCTCACCTAAATCTCAATTCCCAAACTCTCTCCAATAATCACCAAAATGGCAAAATTAAATTTTCCTTCAAAAAAAAAAATAAATAAATAAAATTCACCTAAAATAAAATACTACAAACCATAAAAAATTAAATAACCAATCCTCCCCTCCTAAAAAAAAAAAAAGAAAAAACGAAAATGGAACCTCGACGAAACCCCCAAAATAGAGCAAGAATCGACCCAAAAATCCGCCAAGTTGGTTTCACATTCAATCCCACTACCCCAACCCTAAACCCTAATTCTTCCGCCACCGTCTCCGCCGACGACTCCGCCCTTTCTCCGGTTATGATCCCTCCTCCGCCGATCCCCTCCGACACTTCCGCCGCCTCCGCCGCCTCCGCCGCCGCCGCCTCCACTTCTCTCCCTGTTCCTGTCCCCGCCCACTCCGCCGCCACTGCCGCCGCCACTGTCTCCGCCGCTCACCGTGTTTACGACGATTCTCACTCCTACCTCGCCGCTTCTTCGCCTGAGTCATCTCAGCCTGATTTTTCCGACGACTGGGTTCGAAGTAGTTCTGGAAAGTACAGTCTTGGTTTTGATATGTCTGGTGTTAATTCTCCTGTTGCTGATCAACAATCTGCTCATGATGCTGATTTGACTGTTATTCATCATGGTTAGTAATCTATTTTCATTATTTGTTGTAATTTTTTTTGTTTATAACTTTAATTCGAGTTTAATTTTTGAATTGATTTAAGGATTTATTTCTTGTTCTGTATTATTTTGAAATTATTGTGAACTTAACGGGACAACCTGCTTATATATAACCAATTTGGAAAAAATCATTTTGTTGATGAATTGCAAAAAAAAAAAAAAATCAAAATTGGATGATAGTGTAATGTGGGAAAATTACAAAGTGTATGATGATATTGTATTGTGGGAAAATTACAAATTATATGATGAATTTTTGTTATTTATATTTATTGGGCAAATGGTATAAATGCTTTTGGCTGTCATATTCGAATTTATTTTTAAGATATGATTACATTTTCTGCAATCTGATGCTTTTCTGGGAGCAGAATTGGGGAATTTTATTATCTTGATTACAAGCGGTGTGTAGTTGCGTAGGCTTTTTATGTTTGATTCGTGATGATAAGAAGATTCTTGGGATAGTGTAAGCTTTTAATTTTTTAAATCTTGCTTTTCGTTTTCGGACTTTAGTCATTGTAAGAAGAGCTCCCTTGTACAAAGATTCAGTTCATGATCTGAGCTAAGTTGTTTCATTTCAACCATTGTGATCTCGCTCTGTGTTTTGGTAGCGGAATGGATCGAGTTGATGCGAAGTAATAAGCTTTCTGATTCTGATTCTTCCAACATATTTGCATTCATAATTTGCTGGTTGGCAACATCAATGTATTGAAATTGATTTGTATGTGAACTTTAAAAGCTGAAATTTGCTATGCATTAACAAAGCTTGTTTATTTTGAGTAGTAAAGGTGTAGATGTCAATATATGCATTTTGTGAGTTTGTTTTTATTCCTTTTCTTTTCCTTCCCACATTGCATTCATAGAATCATTTTACTTTTATATTAAATTGCCTTTAGTAAGTATCTCTTTTTATATTTGAACATGATCTATGTTGCAGTTTTTTTAATGAAACCAATGATGCAGAGAAGGGAGGAAATATATCAGAAGTACAAGTGTCTCACCATGAAGACAAAAAGGTGACCTCCAAACCGTTGAAGGATAAAACTAGCAAAGCTGAAAGGCGCGCTTTACAGGAGGCTCAGAGAGCTGCAAAATCTACTAAAAAAGGTTCAGACTTTTTCATTTATTTTTGTGCGTGTGTGTACGAGATGGGGGGGGGGGAGGGTTAGTCATTAGTTTGAACTTTTGTTTGATTGCTGTCAAATATTGCACTTAGTGCTTATAATTTTTGGAATATTTTTGGATACTTTCTTTTGAATACTGTGTATACATGACCATTTAGCAAGACGTTGATTGATCTAAACAAGTGATGGGTATGATTACTGCAGCTGCGGCTTCTGGAGTCGCACCTCCTGTCACTGAAAAGCCAACCAAAGCATCTAAGCAGTATCCACAGAAAAAAGATGTTCCTTTGGCAACATCCTCAGTGTCAGTACCTGAAATGAAAGGAGGTGATCGGCCATCGGAGAAAGACAAGAAGAAGGATGTTTACCATCCTCGGATGCAGTATGATGACAAGAGCAGAGTGGAAAAGGCTAAAAAGCGCTCTGTTATTGACAAACCTGAAGCTAGAAACAGAGTGGAGTTGTTTCAGCATTTGCCTCAGTATGAACGTGGAAATCAGCTCCGTGACCTCGAGTCAAAAATTTTCAATCTTGATTCAGTTCATCCTGCTGTGTACAAGGTACATTAACTTACCAGCTTTTTTTATCAATTTGATTTTTGTTTTTATCAGCATTAAAGATGGTAATTAAATAAAGTTCAAATGTCACTGGTAAAATCCACCACAGAATTACAGCTATGAGACAAAGTTAAGATTGTGGTTTCTAAGTCAAGAATGCCTTAAGCTAGATACCTTCTTCTCCTATCTGATTGGCTTGTGAGTGAGCTGGCCTTGGTTTTTGTAAGTGGGTTTTATAGACTTTTGAAGGCTATTAAAAAATGTGTTTAAACAGAGATATCGTGAAGGAGATCATTAAGAAGCAATATTGAAATTAATTGATATTTTGTTTTGATGGTGCTGTGAATTGTGAAATTACCACTTGATTTACCAGTAAAACCCTAAAAGAAGAAAGAGAAGGAACAATTCTGAATGAATACTTTTACATCCCTTCTCATTTTTACTGTTGGTCTGCTTACACTGATTTCTCACTCTATATCTAAATCATCATATTCATTGAGTGTCTGTAATCCACTTCTTGCGCAAGCCAATGCATAATTAAATTTTGGACGGCATCTAGATTCCTTCCTTATTTTGCCTTTCCAAGGCGCTTATCATGGGTGAAACAAATCCAAGGTTTAGAATGATTGGTTTGGTGCACAATTGGAAAAGGACCTACTATGGTAAACATCATCTTTATGGGCTTAGATTCAATGTCATTTTTTATCTGTTAATTTTTCAATAATCAATATATATAACTTATTAGGTTTTTTATGAGTTCAGCATTGGTGTATCAAGTTCTCGGCTCATCAAAATTTAGTTATTACCTTTGAAGAATGTGACTAACAAGATGAGGACAGGTTAATTTTGAAGTCAAAATAAATATATATAAAAAAAAAGAAAGATTCATAGATGTTATTAACCATTAGTTAAGATATCCAAATCTTTTCCTTCTTGATTGAATGGAAAGGGTTGGGTTCATAACATCTTCACTGTCTAAAGTAATGATGAGTCGGAGAACACCATGCATCATTTTTTAAGTTTCCTAGTATTTTATTGTTTATTAAATATCATATGGAATTCACATTATGTAATAATCATATTAAATGTCATGCCCTTTCCAGATTTTTATTTATTTATTTATTTTTCATACGAACGCATAAGAACATTGATTTAGACTTATTGTTACTTGAGCTATCTGGTGGAGTATTTAGACTTGAACAGTTTTATTATTTTTTTAGAAAGAAATTGGTTTATCTGGCAACTCATTTTTTAAATCCAGAAGCCAAGTTACAAGACAACCAAGAGTTCCCTACTTTGTCAGTTGTTTTCCTACCTTAGCTAGCTAAATGGCAATGTGATTTAGAGTATTTTTCAATCTTAAGCCTTAGAGCTTAGAGAAAGAATAATTTAGTTGATCAAATTCAACCAAAATAGTTAAATACTTAAATATACTTGGTATTTGCTTTTGATGTCAGGTGGGTTTGCAATATTTGTCGGGCGATGTATCTGGAAGTAATGCACGATGTATTGCAATGCTCTATGCTTTTAAAGAAGCCATTGAAGACTACCATACCCCTGTAGACAAAATTCTAACCAGAGATCTAGCGACAAGGATCAGTAGCTACGTGTCATTTTTAAATGAATGCCGCCCCCTCTCTATCAGTATGGGTAATGCAATAAGATACGTAAAGGCCCGCATTGCAAAGTTGCCTTCAAATCTTACTGAGACGGATACAAAAGCTACATTATCTTCTGATATATATCGTTTTATTAATGAAAAAATCGTAATAGCAGACAAAGTAATTGTGCAACAGGCTGTCACAAAAGTTAGGGACGGTGATGTTCTTCTTACTTATGGTTGCTCTAGTGTTGTTGAAATGGTATTGGTATATGCCCATGAGCTTGGGAAAAAGTTCCGTGTTGTGATAGTTGATTCACGACCAAAGTTTGAAGGTCAAAGATTGCTTCGAAGACTAATTGCAAAAGGGTTGAGCTGTACATACACGCATATTAATGCAGTTTCTTATGTCATGCATGAAGTCACAAAAGTTTTCTTAGGTGCTGCTTCCATATTGTCTAATGGAATAGTTTATTCAAGAATTGGAACTGCATGTGTTTCTATGGTTGCTCATTCATTCCGTGTTCCTGTACTTATTTGCTGTGAAGCCTACAAGTTTCATGAGAGAGTCCTACTTGATTCCATATGTACTAATGAACTTGGTAATTAACTTTTCTCTCTTATCGAGTTGTCTCCATAGAGCTCCCAGATTTTTTATAATGATGAGTGTGTTCCTTGCAGGTGATCCTGACGTTATAGCTAAGGTATCCGGTAGAAAGGATCTAAATTATTTGGACGATTGGGTGAATAAGAAAAATTTGCAGCTCCTAAATTTATTGTGAGTATCATACTTCTATATTCCTTTCTTATTTTGGATAAAACATAAATAGTATTGTAATTTTTAGACCTAATGACATAAATGATGTCATTCACAGATATGATGCTACTCCCTCAGATTACATATCGTTGATTGTTACTGACTATGGCATGGTAAGCTGCTTCTTGTTGGTTGGTAAATTTTTGCTTTCAATACTATTGCCCCACACCTGTTTTGTTACTTATATTTATAATACTCTACCCTTCTTGAAAATTCATATATCTATCATTTTTATTGGTACAGCAATGTGAATCGTGCTGTATTGTTTAAGTTTTCCTTTTTATGTAACTTATATTCTTTATTATAGTTAGCTTACCTAGCTTTTCTGGAACAACATGCTGTCTGTCAAGTAATCATCCTGCATCCTACTTTTTCCAGATTCTTAAACCAAGTAACTATGCCATATGTTACAAAATTAACAATTAAAGATTAAACCATTGTCATTTCTTGACCTTTGATGCAAATTTGTAAAATTGCAACCTTTGATACTCTACTTTTATTCTTCAATTTCTGATTACAGTATTTGTTTTATACAGATTCCACCTACGAGCGTGCCAGTAATTGTGCGTGAATATGGGAAAGAACACCTATTTTAATGTGCAGATATTGTGTTTAAATACTTGTTGATAACAAGGCTAACTACTGTAAAGGTGTTAGGTTTGAATCTCATATTTAATGTCATAAATTTGATCCCAGTATACAAGTGAAGGCTCATTTCATGTTACTAATGAACTGCACCAAGCAGTTTTGATCCAGCATTCTTTGACAGGAATCGTTGTCTATGTATTATTTTGAACATTGTTTAGAATGATTTAGCCAACTAGAATAATTAATCACAATTCAGTATGATGATTTTTTTTTTTTTTTTTTTTTTTTTTAAAGTTTTACACTTATAGTAGGTGTGATATAAGGTGTAAGTCATATATATACGGAGTAGCTTAATCTCTTTTCAAGTTTGATTCCTTATTATTAATTACAAGTATTATTCTATCATGAATTCATAATAGTGCTTGATTGCTACACTCATTTGCTTTTTTATTTTAAATTTTTTTTTTTTAAAAAAAAAAGAATTGATCTCAAATTCTCAACTCACAGTTCCAGTGTTCTACATCAAACTAAAAAAAACAGCAGAAATTTACTATGGTATGTCTCTTAAAAAGTGGGCAACTATGCTCTCTTTATACTCCGTATAAAATAAGGTATTTTTGTCTGATTTTGACTCGGTTTGATCTAATTTGATGTTATGGATTGACTACAAATTTGACCTCTTTAAGATTAAGGAAATTTTGACTTTTGCTATCTGTCTGTCAAACAGGTCGAATCCACTTTTGCTATCCATCAAAACTTTTATTTTATTTTACTACCTAACATATGCCCTTTTTTTAAATTTTGCTACCACTTGACGGATTCGTTAATAATTCTGTTAAGTTGTTTTTTTTTTTTTTTAAAAAAAATAATAATAATTATAAATTAAAAATAAAAAAACAAAAAAAAAAACCACCCACCCCTGCCACCCCTCCCCTCAACTGCCACCCCTTCCCTCCCCCCTGCCGGTGGCCGGTGCCCAAAGATTTGGCCGGCGCCGGCGCGAACCCACCCCCCTCCCTTTCCCCCACCCTACGCTGCCAACCAAACCCACCCCCCTTCCCTTTCCCCGTTCTCGCAACCAAATCAGCCACCACGCGCAGCTCCTCTCCAAATACCAGCCCACAATCGCAACCCCTGTGGCCACCTCCTCACTCAACCCGCAAAATCAATTCCCAACCACCGATACTCAAACCACCAATCGCTGCCACCCACATCAATTCCCGAAATCAGAGCAAATCGCAGATCCATCGAACCTCGTCTAGAAATCAATTAAAGTTTGCCGAAAAAAGTTGCGGTGTGGTGGTTTAGGGGTTAGGGTGGCCGAAAAGGTTAAGGCGGGTCGATTCGTTAGGGTTTGGAGCAAAGTGTTGCAGAAGAGTGGTGGTAGTGGTGGTGGTTGCGGCGATTCGGATCTTTGATTGTGGTTTCGGTGTGGTGGCTAGGGTCGGGCAGCAGGGGAAAAGGGAGGGGGCTGGGTTGCGTTTGTGGGGGAAAAGGGGTGGGATGGGTTCGCCGGTCGCCGGTCGGGGTAGGGAGCTGGGTGGCTAACGGGAGGGGGCAAGGTTGGTTTCTTGGGTGGTTGATTTAATTTGGGTGGCTGACAGGGAGGCTTGTACGGTGGCAAAGGAGGGAGTGGTGGCCGGAAGGTGGTAATGAAGGTGGTAACGGAATTATAAATGGATTCCGTTCAGTGGTAGCAAAATTTAAAAAAAGGGCATATGTTAGGTAGTAAAATAAAATAAAAGTTTTGATGGGTAGCAAAAGTGGATTCGACCTGTTTGACAGGTAGCAAAAGTTAAAATTTCCTAAGATTAATGTATAAAAGTAAAAATAAAGTGGGATCTTGTTAAATTTGTTTCAAGTATTTAATTCCAATTCAAGATATTTAGTAAAGTTATAAATCTGATGTTTTTTTTTTTTTTTTTTTTTTTTTTTTTTTTTTTTTTTTTTTTTTGAAGTATATAAATCTGATGTTCTGATCTAATGTGAATGTTTTTAATTTGATTTCCCGAGTACAATGTACTGAAGCAAGCAAATAAATATTCACATTAAATGACAGATAAATAAACTAGGGATTTGGAGAGAGAGGACATGAAGAGAAGAAAGATGGAAGATTGCAAATCCTAACATAACATAAATACAGTTGTATAAGAATAATGAATAAATCTCTCTTTTATTTTGAGGCAGAGAAAATAATAAATAATTTCTCAACAGTCAATGAGATAAATAAAATAAAACCTAATAAAATATACAACTTACTACAACAATCAATATCACTTCTCAAATACATGGATATTTTCTAATACAATGCTAACTCAGATATCCTTCTACAGTTCTACAATACCATTTCTAATACACATGTATGCTGTATCCGACTACACACGTAAATTTTATAAAAGAATAATAAAATCTTACAACAAGTTAGCTGCTGGTCCGTAAATTATATGGCACTTTACAAATCAGAATAGCTGGTTTACCTCTATCTAAACTATCATACACACTCATAGATTCTAGTCAGGCACTCTGTTATTTTTGTTTCTTGTCAGAACCTATTTTACAATTCACAGATGCAGTTTCAGTAGCTAGCTCCATAAGCATATCATAGTCAATTTCACTTAATCTGTATTTCAACTTAATGCCACTGTCGGCCCAGGACTTAACACAGAGTAGAACCTGTGCAGTTGAAGCAGGCAAACCAAACCGTTGCCTTTCCAGTTCATCTCCTTTGCTGGAGAAGAGTTCTTCAGGTGCCACAGATGTTGCCTGCACTGACAAAAAGTCCCGAGCCATTATAGACAGCCGTGGATAACGTACACTATTAACTTTCCACCACTCCAAAACATCTGTTGTTAGTGGAGCTGGCGGTTCTGACAGATATTGGGTCAGCTCATCAGTTGCAACACTCATGATAGCCCTCCGTCTTTTTCGGGCTATTTCCTCTGCAAAAGATACTGTACCACCATCTTCGTTCTCTGAAGCACCATATATATTGTTCACAGATGAAAAATGACTGGTCGAATAATTTCCAAGGAAATGGGTTCTTGCCGCCTCCAAATTGTTTTCTAAGTTGAGTGTTTCTGGGATGAGTTCTACTTTGATCCGAGGATCAAGAATAGCTGTCATGTAAGTAAATATATTGGCAACCTGGTCATTGTAACTGCTGGATTTTAGCGACATTTCCTCAGCAGCACTCTTTAGCCAATCTGGATAATGGCAAGAATCCTTGCATGCTGCAATCATTTCAGATATATGATCCATGAAAAACAGTACTAGGCCAATACTGGGAACCTTGTTTGCACATATGTCACTCGTGGTCTTGTAGAAGGGTTCCAAGTATCCATGCATAATGGTAACTGCATTCCTTTCAGCAGCATTTAGAAGCATTCTGCTACCTAATGTGTCTTCATGCTTCCTAATGACGCTATCCATGGACTTGCTGGCCTGCACTACAATGTAAACTTACATAAAATTCTTTGTCATCTGTCAAAAAGGTACAAATACAAACACAGCGAAAAAAAAAGAATATATATATAGACATAAGTCAATCACCAACCCTTTCCCCCTTAGCAAGGACAGCAACCAACCCTCCCAAGCGCTTGAAATCCCTAAATAACAGATACGTGGTATACAACGACAAAAACTGCGTTTATATAATACTGAACTCAACTCCATCAGAGAGAACTCAATGAACTCAATAGCAGGCCTATTCCTCATAATATCAGCTTTGGGTTTACAAAAGTAATTCATTGCAGACAGGAAATTTTACAGTTATGGAGAAATACTTCCAAGTTTCATTCCCCTACATTTCGATAATGACAACTGAAAAGACAAACAACACATGATTGTATCCAAGAACATTTTTTAAAGAATGAAGACTCAAAGTGATACATTCCCGAAATTAAAAAAAAAAAAAGCCACAAAAATTGGGTATCATCCCCAAGAGGAATAAACTTCGTGATGCTTCAAGAAGCCAAAATTATAATGCCAAGACACTAAACAATCACACATTCTCCAGGCGATAGCAATTTTGACACCCACATCACGACTTTAAAGCTATAAAGAAAGATGGAAGGCAAATGAAAAGTTTCGTCTCTTCCTACTTTGAAAAAAAAAACCTTACTTTCAAAGTACAAGTTCTGAAGAAACCAGAAGAAGAACTGATCTAATTTGAGAAAATCAGCCTCAGCTTGATCAATTAGCACAAGAAACATATAAGAAAAAGAAGCCATACATTTGACTAGACTCTAAACCTTATACCACAAGACTGCTGCTGTAAAACTGTGTTAACACCCCCCTCCCCCCAAATTGGTCAATAAAAAGCTTACTTAATACCTTCTCTGTGCTTTCAATATTGCAACATTGACACTTATGACACTATTCAATATTCACACACTCCTTTGTGATTTATATGTATATATGTAAAGAAAAAATGGTCAGGTAGGGTCTTGTTAGATTTGTCTCAGTATATAATTTCACAATATCAATATTTTTTTTACAATTTTTACTATTATATAATAAATAAATAAAAAATAATAATAATAAGATTTAAATTTTGCTTTGGGAAGCATAAATCACCCTATGTTGCAATATTAAAATATAATAGAGGAAGTATGAAGTAAGTTAAACTTAGATTCAAATATTAGGATCTTTTTGAGCAATTCTTTTACAGCCACTGAAGCCATTAACCATTATAAGGAGATAATTGAACACAACAATCTTAGAAAGACACGGAAGCTGATCTCTGCTATAGACAGCCATTATACCTCCCTCAACCTCAAAGTCTATCCATATGATCTTCTAAAGGACCTTTTACACTTAACTCTGTCAATTAAATTTAGTATAGGAATTCTGTTCCAAGTATATAAGTTGGAAATTAGACAGATACAGAATGACAGTGGGGAGACACATGCACTGAAAGGCAAGGTTATAGAAATCACAGTAACCCTATTGTCCAATTTGATAATTTAAAATTTTATATGAAGAGCACTTATGTTGTCTTAGCAGGTTTAAAGGAAAGCAAAATCCAAACTCAATGATTAGTATTGATCACCACATTCGAATAATAGATGATGTAATGCCCGAGTTTTCAAATGTACATCACAGATTCACAGTTTAGCTAGGATGATTCATTGGACATTTTTCAGAAGAAAAAAATTATTACTACATAATCCCAATTTATCTCCCCCCCCCCCCCCAACAACTTCCCAAGGTTCTTATAAATTCGTTCTTGGTGCAGCCCATTCCCCAAACTCCTAAAATGAAGACAGATTACCCAATTGCATTAGGCACTCTTTCTGTAATTTGTTTCATATGGCATTTGAATTTGACTAGCACTCATCTCTCTTATGGAGTATTTTACAGAAGG